AGTTGAGAGCATTATGAGAACAATATGGTAATAAAATTATTATGTTACTCAANCGGTATTTGCCTCAACTAGCTTCATCTGCCTTGCACACATCAGCGCGATTGACCTCTCTTTCTAGGGCCAGTCCATAGTTTACTAGGTCTATGCCCTGATCTCACATCTCACCATAGATAATATTAGCAGCTTTCAAATTGACAAAAAAATGTACTCGGAAGAACTACAGGAACACTTCAGATCAGATTAGCTTTTTTGCGTTCCAATAAACTGGATCATTTTACTCTTAAAGTGTTCTTGTTTGTTTTCCTGTGCTCCTCACGCACCACCTTTTACTGATGAGCTTTATACTCTCAAATTCTTTTCACACTATGTGGAATTAAGATTTTTTAATATTATGGTTATTATTTTTGTGCCACTGTTCTTTAATAAGTAAAATTTATATTAGGCTCTCTAGCTTTTGGCTCTTGTGCATGAAAATTATTTAAATTACTTACGTGTTTCTCTCGAAGGTGTTCCATTTGTTTAAAATTGGATTATTTAAAGAATAGAACAGTGGAAGAACACTGCAGGAGCAGTTAGTTCCCTAGCTAGTTATCTCTCTTATCTATTTCCCTAGCGATTGGAAACCAACTATTAATTTATATGTATAAGCTGCTTTCTAATTTCCAGGGAATTGCAATTGCTTCCGAAGTGTTCTTCTACTGTTCTACTCTTTATAAATACTCCAAACTTAAACAATTAAAATACCTCCGAGAGAAACAAGTAAGTAATTAAATAATAATTAGAAAGTACTTTTTAATATTGTCAGCTGAAAGCCAAAATCTAATATAAATTTAATTTAGTTGCACAAAATAATAACTATAATGAAACTGTTGTATTCGCAGCTTCGAGCGCCTTTCAGAATTTGTTACTTCAAATCATCCCAGGCAGCATTTTACACACTCATGCATGTCTGTAGAACTGATCCCCGAGAAAAGGCGAGGTAAAACAAAACTTCACCTTACTTTTCGGGCAAATCAAAAAAGCCGCCACGGTCGAAAATCCAGTCGTCGCGCCATTATTCCATGGCTAGAAATTGGCCTCAATGATTAGGGATCGAGGGGGATTATCCCTCTTTATCCTGCCTCATCTCGTGTAGGCCTGGACAGCCTTCGTAGGTGGGCCCCATCCGTCGTCTACCCCGACCGCAAATGCGGCCGGTGTAGGCGCTTTGTGGGACCTCCTTTTGTCCTGGCTGGGCCCCGCNAAGGCGCGTTCTCACGAGTCAAGTTTAGTTGACCAATTTTAGTTGATCAACAAAAGTTGAATACAACTTGAATTAATTTTTGTTCACATATTTCAATTAAAACTGATTCAGCGATTCAATGTAAAAATGGCGTCGAATGCGGTTGTGCGTGAATGTGTGCAAAGTATTGCTGTTTTGTTAAAAGAAGAACTGAAAAGAATTGCTAATAATATGAACAAAGGTCGTAAGAAACGTCGTTTTTGGGTGAGGCAGTGGATTCTGAGAAGAAATAGATTGGGAGCATCAGAAACGTTGTTGAAGGAGCTTGCATTAGAGGATAAAGAAGGGTATAGAAATCAGTTAAGAATGTCCGAAGAAAAACTTGAAGAGCTGCTGTCAAAAGTCATAAAAAAACAAGATACAGTAATGTGACAAGCAATCTCACCAAGATTAAAGCTGCAAGTTACTTTAAGGTATTTAGCTACAGGGGATTCATTTGCAACGCTTGCTTCGGTATACCGAGTACCAAAAAATACCATTTCAAAGAAGAAGGGGAGAAGTGTGTACAGCAATATACGACACATTACAAGATTTTATTAAAGTAAGTATAAACATTTTGCAACAAAAGTAGGTAATATAAAATTTAGTCTATTATAAGTCTATGACACCTGTTAGAGCTGCAGTAAGTATACCAGATGGCTCCTGCGAATCTTCTCCACATTGTTGTCTGTTGCATGATTCATTTGAAAATGAAGACGAGGAATGTTCTGGGTCCATATTGTTTGATAGCGCTGGCGATGGAGATGAATGATACTCAGAAGGTGAAAATGCTGGTGATGGAGTTGTGTGATAGTAATACTCAGAAGGTCGACACATTGATGATGGAGTTGTACGATACTCGGACTGTCTCCCTGATAAGAGCTGCAATCGCTTTTGTCGTACTATAGTTTGAATTTGTTCCTGGCAGATGATGGCATCGTAAAGAGGCATCTGTCTTAGCTGGACCGCAATATGTTTGGCAAAAATGTCGAATTCATCATCAACATTGCCTGTATTTTTTTGCACTACTTCATCAAGTTTATCAATTGCTGCGCTTATATTTGAAATATTTTCATTATCTGCTATTTTCCGTTTGCGATTGTGAGGAGCACGAAAGACATTTGTTGTCTTTGATTGCAGTAGGCAGATTGGCAGTTTTTTTGTTTTCTACATGTATCGCTTTTTTCTGGGTAATACCATTGGCAATAGTAATAGATGTAGACGTTGATACAGGAAACATATTTTCTGTTTCTGTTTCTTCTGTATTTTCGATGGTTTCGCTTTCAGCTTCATCATGTTGTGAATTCTAAAAGAAAAATAGAACTTTATTAAAATATCTTATATTAGTAAAAAAGTGAATTAAATATGCAGCAAAATTTGAAAAATATTTTTTTTCAGGTGCCACAAAATGAAGAAGAATGGAAGACAATTCAAAGAGAATATTATTTTCGATGGAATTTTCCTAACTGTTGTGGTGCATTAGATGGAAAACATATTGTAACACGAAATGCGCCTCACAGTGGATCAGAGTATTTTAATTATAAAGGGACATATAGCGTAATTTTGTTTGCGTGCGTTGACGCAAACTATTGCTTTCGCTATTTTGACGTAGGTACAAATGGACGAGCAAACGATGCTGCGGTTTTTGCAAAATCATCATTAAATACAGCATTAGAAGATGTTAGGAATACGTTACATTTTCCAAAAGGAGGAGTATTTGTAGCTGACGATGCTTTTCCCTTAAGACCCTACATTTTAAAACCCTTTGGAAGGAGTACTCATTTATCTAGAAAACAGAAAATTTTTAACTATCGCTTATCAAGAGCTCGTCGCATTGTAGAAAATGCATTTGGAATTTTGGTTTCTAGATTCAGAGTGTTTGAACGACCTATAGCGGTTGGAATTACCAAGGTGGACAAAATTGTTAAAGCAGCTTTAGCATTACATAATTGGTTAAAAATGAGTTCGGGTGAAAAATATACACCAACAGGGTCTTTTGATACTGAAGATCTAAATATCAGGCGTATTATACCGGGTTCTTGGAGAACACAAAGTACTGAAGCGAATGGTGTAGTTAATTTGCACGTTAATTTAGGAAGTCGTAACTATTCAAAATTACCATCTACTGTACGTAATGAATATGCCGAATATTTTTCCGGACATGGAGCTGTGCCCCGGCAACTGAATATGATACACGACGATGTAAATAATACATAAAAGTTTATGTAAAAAAAATAAATAAAAAGCATACTTACTAAATTTGATGAGGTATTCCTTGTATTTGCAACACCATTTAAAAATATATCCGCTCTTTTATACCAAAACAACTTTGGTACGTACAATTCATCTCTTCCCATCCCACTATGTATCGATTTGCAAACCAATGAATGTTCTTTTTGATTTGATTTTGTTTTTTAGCTCAGCAATAGTAATACCAGGAATTTCCATTTCCTTGACAATACAACCCAAAGCATCTTCTCGTGCGTCTCAATTTCTATATTTATCCATTCGGTGGTCCCACAGACAATCATACCTCTGATACAACTCCAAAAATTTCATCATAATACTTTCAGACCACTTGAGACTCATGCTTTTTAACTATTTTATGAACACCTAATTATTTTATAAGCCAAACAAACGCACGTACACCCGGCCGCTTTGACAAAATGTACTAAACACAGTCAACAAGTTGACTGCCTAGTTCACACGTTTCAAGACAAGTTTCGACTTGAAAACAATTCGTGATGACTCATCACTTGAACGATAAAAGTTTGCTTGGGTCAAACTTTTCTTGATCAACTACAAAGTTGATCAACTTTCTTGAACGACAGGTTCTCACAACAGTTTTGATTCAACTTTTGTTGATCAACTAAAATTGGTCAACTAAACTTGACTCGTGAGAACGCGCCTTTATCAAGGTGGTACTTCAACCGCAGCTAACCTACGCCTCCACGGCGTGGGGTCACGCGGCAAAAAGCCACTTAAAGTCACTACAGGCTGTGGAAAACATAGCCCTCCGCACGGCCACCGACGCGCCCTGGTACGTAAGAAACACTGACATATTACGAGACTTACAATACACAAACGCTACACAGACAATAAGACAAAACGCGGAGAAACGATTTGACGTAGCCGCTAGACATGACAATCCCCTCCTCAGGCAAGCCGTTGACTACGTACCCGACGTGACCGACAAACACAAAAGACCTAGACACCAACTTTTTGACCCTGGGTGAACACCCCAATGACCCCCCCCCTCTGCCCGCTAACCTTTTCTGTTTCAGAGACAGCTAGGATCAAGAAACGAAGACAACGACACACACACATACACTTACACACCCCCCATACCCTCCTTACCCCTCCCCTCCCGCGCTAGCCTAAGGGCCACCTTAGCAAAGCGCATCCCAGGCTGCATAGCCGCACTACCCTACCCAACCATACCACACATAAACATGACACTACCCCCGGGGTTTACACAGACGAGCCGGCGAAGCAAGATGAGCGCCAGAAGAAAGGGCCCTAGCCGGCAGGGCCCAGCCAGGACAAAAGGAGGTCCCACAAAGCGCCTACACCGGCCGCAATTGCGGTCGGGGTAGACGACGGATGGGGCCCACCTACGAAGGCTGTCCAGGCCTACACGAGATGAGGCAGGATAAAGAGGGATAATCCCCCTCGATCCCAAATCATTGAGGCCAATTTCTAGCCATAGAATAATGGCGGCGGCGACTACATGTGCGGTATTGAAATAATGTACACTTTTAGAATTAACGGGTGTCATATCATATGTGTATAAAGTATCACAATAATCACAAAACATGTAATATAGGTACAAACATATATAAAGAGTACTAGTGAAAGAATAAAAATATTATACAAACATACAGAAACAAGAAATTTGAATTTTTTTTAAATTGCGTTGCGCACCCTACAGCTGCGCATGATTGAACAATGACGGCGATAAATAAATTATTCTTTAATTTCAGAATAATTAGAACAAAATCGCCATTAATCGGGTAAGTTAATAGTTTTACATTTAATTTTATACAAAATATCTTATGGTAGCCGAGAATTTATGGCATATTTCGTCTCTCAATATTAACCTCAATCTTGTCACAAATTATGATACACAACGTACATTTTTAAAAATTGCCAAATTTTTAGTGCATTTATTCAACAAAATGGAATGTCTCAGTACCCAAGTTATTATATTCAACCTGTTTATAAAAAGGAGGCACAGGAAGATCTCGTAAGAATCGGAGAAGCCCAAAAATTGGCTCATATTCCCATCAGAGCTGCATTAAGCGATCAAACTAGCTCCCAAACTCAAGATGCTTTAGTAAAGTATGTCTGCACTATATATTATATTAGTATGAAAGAATAAGGCGTATTCGTTTTAGTTTGTTTATCAATTACTGTATGAGAGACGGTTTAAAAGTGCTAGCTAGGTCTTTGATAGAAAAATCATTTGAAAATGTGAAAAGGATGCAGATAGAAAAATATCACAAATGTCAAAATGAAGAGGATAAAAGTAAAATCGAACTAAACCCTAAAACGATATTTTGCAATGCTATTGAAAACTGCAAACCAGTTATGCAACTTACACCCATTAAACGAGGAGGTGTAAAGTATCAAGTATGTAAATAAAATGAGCACAATTTTAATAATATACGTAATTAAATTTTTTAGGTACCTGTTCCAATTACAGAAAAGAAAGCTCAGTTTTTATCAATGAAATGGTTGATTGCTGCCGCAAGGGACAGAGACACGAGAAATATACAGTTTCCGACACAATTAGCACGTGAACTAATAGATGCTTCAAACAATACAGGACGAGTTATAAAAAGAAAACAAGACCTACATAAACAATGTGAAGCAAATAGGGCATATGCCCATTATAGATGGAGTTAAATAAATACACAAGTAATTTAAATAATTTTATTTCTGTAGATACCTACCTAAAGAATAAATTACATAACTCGCTTAATTTTTTCTTTATCTAATATAATACCGAAATTTAAACTGAATTTTAAAGTTTCCTTCGTAGAAAAACGTCGAAATGTGAAATATAAACCATCTAAAAAAGTACTAGGTAATTCATTGAAGGGAACAATATCTTTTGTAGGTATTTCGATATCTTTTCTTTTTCCCCATGAATCTATGTAAGATATTTTCGCAACATCTTTTTCTTCATTGTAATAAATGTAACCAATAAAATTTTGTGTTAGATATCCCAAACTATACAAAGCCAGACAACCAGAAAATCCTAAAAAAAATTGTTTATTCGATATATAATCGTAAAATTGTGTTACATATTACATGCAAAAAAATTAATAAGTACTCACCAAGAGCGACTGTAAATTGAACTGCACCACTTGATATTTGATCTAGTTGATTTAAGCATACTGTAACAGGTATACTAATTGCAGTTAGAGCTGTCTGATAGACCTTTAGCCTATTAATCATTGAAAATGGAAGAATATAAGGGAATTTATACACAGGAATAAAGTTTCCTTGAATCTTTTCATTCTTTTTGCAATTCCCAGAAAATAAACTAACACACCTTACCAACTTTATGATATTTGTGGATGCTCTTGTCTTTGAAGTAATTTGAATAATTCCATTCATTATAACCTGAAATGTAGGGATACTTTTTAACAAACACGCTATATGCTATATATTTTATTTATATACCCATAACCTAACAAAAGTATCAACAAGAACAAAAGGCTAAGAATTTCTGTTTAGAGGATTAGTAGTAGTAAATATAATTACTTAATTTAAGGTTTATGAATATAACATGACATCCAATATTAAATTAAAAGAAGCGTAAGTACCTTTTCCTTTTTAACTTAAAATTCTTGATTAGGTTTTTTGTGAGGTTATATTGTACACATGTGTGCGAAAATTCCATAAGAATAGATGTGCGTTATAGTATATTATGAACTAAAGTACCTAAAATCTTTTCTTCTAGATATGGGGTAGAATCGAAACATGGTGCTTTTTACACAGGGGGCAACATAGAATGGCATGAAGATAAACTATTTTGCCAAACCAATTCCAGTATCTCGTTATTGAATGTAGAAAATGGTCTCGTGGAAACAACTATTGGAGAAGCAAATTCTGAAGATGCAGATTTCGTTCAGACGTTTACTTCTGATGGACAAAGGGTAGTATCGTCACATAAAAGCGGGCTATTAAAATTATGGAATAAAGAAGGCGAAGTAGAGAAAATGTGGAAATACATTCATAAGGGCCCTGTTGCCAGTTTGGCATTAAAGGAAAGCAAACTCGCAAGTGGAGGATCGGATGGTATTGTCAGGATATGGGACCTTCAATACCAAGCGTGTATTCTTAGCCTTAAGGGTTGCCAAGGAGTTATAAATATAACAAAATACCACCCTGTTGAAAATAAAATATTCGCTTCAGGGGATGATGGCAAAATCAATTGCTTTGAACTAGAAAAAGGTGAAGTAAGCATCATTTACAATGCCCATTACAGCAAAGTAACCTCAGTTGTCTTTGGTCACGATAATAAGCATTTTGTGAGCTGTGGCCGTGACAAGGTCATTATTTTGTGGGAGTTTGAGAACACCACTGCATTACGCACCATACCAACTTACGAAGCTGTGGAGGCCATTGTTAATTTGCCGATTAAGTTCAAGTTACCTGGATTTAAATCGGAACCTGAAAGTATATATGTAGCGGCAGGAGGAGAGAAAGGGGTAATAAAAGTGTGGGATGTGAAAAAAGCGAAAGAAGTTTTTGTGCAAACCAACTCGTTAGTCTCACCCGCAACAGAAGAAGGCGGGTTAGCTATTTCAAACTTATTATTTAATGACAAATCAAAGGCTCTAGCTGTAGTTACTGTAGAGCATAACATAATTATTCATCATTTAAAATCGTTTGTTTGTTTAAAACAATTCATTGGTTTTTCGGATGAAATATTAGATGTCACGTTCGTAGGCAAAAATGATGAATATTTAGCGGTAGCTACAAACTCGAGTGATATTAAGTTATATAAGAATGATACGATGAATTGCCAGTTGCTGAAAGGTCATACTGATCTTGTTCTTTCTTTATGTACAAGCAAAACAAACCCTGATCTTTTACTTTCGTCAGGAAAAGATAATACAATCCGTCTATGGCTCTTGAAAGATGGAACGATGAGTTGCGTTGGGACTGGATTGCGCCACACAGGTTCAGTAGGGTGCGTAGCTTTCAGTCAAATGGGTGCAAAGTTTGCTCTGTCTGCAAGCCAAGACACTTGCTTGAAACTATGGGAAATTCCATCGAAATTCACAGACACCAACTTAAATTGTACACATACTGTGATCGCTCATCAGAAAGAAGTGAATAGTGTTGCTGTATCACCCAATGATAGAATTATAGCGACGGCCTCTCAAGACAAAACTGCAAAGCTTTGGACAGATTCACTGACTCTAGTTGGTATATTGAGAGGTCACAGGAGAGGTGTTTGGTCAATTCGGTTTTCTCCCGTGGATCAGGTAGTAGTGACGTCTTCTGCAGATTGTACCATAAAGTTGTGGTCAGTTGCTGATTTAAATTGCCTCAAAACGTTAGAAGGTCATGAATCTAGTGTGTTAAAAGTAGAATTTGTCTCTTCGGGAATGCAGCTGTTAAGTGCGGGATCGGACGGACTTTTAAAGTTATTTTCAATAAAAACCTCAGAGTGTGTTTGCACGCTAGATGAACATGAGGCTAGAATCTGGGCTTTAGCGCTGAATAAGGATGAATCGAGACTCGTAACGGGCGGTACAGGCTCAGTTTTGATTAAATGGAAGGATGTTACGGAGGAACTTAAACAGCAACGGCAGAAAGAAGCAGAGGAATTGGCATTACAAGAACAAACACTATATAACTACATTCAGGGTGACGAACTGTTAAAAGCTTTGAAGCTAGCCTTGAGATTAAATAGACCGGCGACAGTTCTGAGGATTACACAGGATATAATAAAGAAGGGTGATAGCGGTTTAGCTGACACAATAAAGGAGTTGCGTAATGACCAAAAAGAAAGTTTATTAAAGTGCGCTACGAACTGGAATATGAACAGTAAAAATTGTCAACCTGCTCAGATAGTACTGAATGTTTTGTTAAATGAATTGCAGACTGGTGAATTTAGACCCGTGGGGTTGAGTTCTACGATAGAAAGCACTTTACCATACACAGAGAGACATTTTAAAAGATTAACTCAGTTGTTGCAGGATTTGCAGTTTATTAATTATACCGTTAATTGTATGCAACCCCATGCGAAATCTGTGAACTGAATCTTATTGAAATATATTATAACTCATTACATAATTGTTACAAGAATTAATAAAAACGTTTTCAATACATTTATTTTTCGTCGTATAATTAGGGTTGCCAGCAATGTCAAGTTTCAACTAAAATTATTCCGGTTCACTAAAAACTATGCTCATAGACAGAAAATTAATAGATTACTTTTAAATTCTTGCAATTCAGTTAAACTGATAACATCGTATATTTACTCATTATTTAAAAGCTCTAGACTCTAGTTGTCTAAACCAAAAATCTCACACCTATAATAATTGCAGCAAAGTCAGAAAACATTAAAGTATATTTTATCATTATTATTTATATTGGTTGATTTTTATGTATAAAAGTGTTATGGAATAAATACATTTTTAAATGTTTTATATTTGAAATATCGTAATTTATCAGAAAAAAGAGAAAATATTTTTATATTTAATTTTCTTATCATTTATAACGATTCAGTCTTTTCTTCCTCTGAACCCTACTTGAAATAATATATATCTTTGAGCTATCATCAGCTCCATATTGGTATATAACCATATCTCTTCTCTAATTACGAATCGTATTATTAAAAAATAATAGATACTGTGAAAATTATGGTACTGAATAAATTACATTAAAACATATACATTTACGTATCAATAAATTCAAAATTTAAATAATCTGTAATTCCCTTTGATTCCTTTATTTGAAATGAGTTGTAGTTGAAATGAAAAAAAAGTAAACAGAAACACTACCTGTAGATACAAATTTTAGAGAAGTCATTCCGTTTTTTAAAAATAGTTCAGTGGTTATGATAGCGAAAGCATAGGTGGCTTTATTACTGTTTCGATACAAATTTCAAAAATTTAACAATTAATAATTTTAACAAAAAATTAACTTCTATGGAATAACAAGTGAAAATATAAATATATGTACTATGTAGACGTAAAAGTAGGTAGCACAGAAATATACTATTCTAACAAAACTGATAATAATTCTTGCGGGTGCTCCGCACCCCACAAATACTTTTGTCGGGTGCTTGAGCCCCGGACCACCCGAGTAGTCGGCGCCTATCGCACCGCCCGTTTCGGGTTAGAGACGTGGGACTGACTATTCAAATTATGAAACGTCTTCAATGTAACCATCCTTGTCTATCGCACGGATTTCTATAACTTACTTTATCGCTCTCACGTAACGGCCGATGTACCATGGGGACTTTCCGAACCTGTATAACTGTAATCAGAAGAAAGCGTTCTATCGGAAAAATGTAAAAATATACAAGGTATTCCACTTAAAAAGCATCTTATCCCTTGTGCTTATACCCAATGCTCATATGCTCAATTATTTTCATAACTTAGGTGTATCAGAAAATTTACAAAGTTTCCTTTTATCTGTACACTCATTTTCTGTACCGAAAAATAACGGAATAAATAGAGAGTGGCCAGTGGCCCACCCTGTATCTAAACATATGCAATTTTGTATATATTTTTTTATTCGAGAATATTTTTTAGATTCAGCAAATCATCTACACTTTTCCCATAATATCTAAGTGTAGTACCTACTAATAGGAAGTGGGGGGAAAAATTATTTGGGTCGTTAAAATACAAAAAAAGATTCATTGTAATTTTAACAAACTAGCCTACCTACATATACAGGGTGTAACCTAAGTACGTTAAAATATTTAAGTGGGGTATTCCTGAATTAATTGTAAGAAAAAAAGTTTATATAAACCTTTGTCCGGAAATGTTTCGTTTCTAAGATACAGGGTGTTGAAATTAAAATTAAACAAAATCATTATTACAACAGCTACTGAATGTGGCTACCCCCGACATTAATACAAGTTTCTGACCTCCTCACCAAAGAATCCCGTATCCGTTGGAAAATATCAGGAAAATAAAATAAATTAATAATAAATAAAATTCTCGACAACTTCATTTAACGTCTAAGGGCCTCTGCAAGTTGTATCTTTACAGAAATTTACAAATTTATCGAAGACGGTGGCTTCTAGCGTTGTTAAGGAAGTGTACCTTTTTTGCTTAAAGGAGGTGTAGGAATATGGTTTATTCATAAAAAATCATAAAAGTCTTCTATCAAAAAAGTTATGGCAAATTAAAATTAATAATGATAGCGTACGTAGCGCCCTGTAAGTGCTGCACAAAAATTAATACCAAATTATGATTTCTCACCTCAAAAAATCCCCTTTCGTAAAAGTTATTTAAGAAAATCGGAAATAAAATTTCAACACTGTATCTCAGAAACGAAGCATTTCCGGACAAATGTTTGTATAAACTTTTTTTGAATACCCCACTTAAATATTTTAACGTACTTAGGTTACACCCTGTATAATTTAATTATACTAATACCTGTACAGACCTCATGTTACGTTGTTAATAAGTCAATGAAAATAACTGTTAAGCTGTTAAATAAGTAAAAAATTCACACTTTTTGTGCAGTTTTCTAGAGTTTTGTCGTGAAAAACGCCATTCCATTAGAAACGCTCATTACTCACGTCACCATACAACATTGTCGCGCAGACATACCTAGTCTCCAGTAATAAAATTCTGCTAAAATATGGTCTTCCTCCCGTTTCCGGAAAAATTCTTTAAGACCGGCACATCCACGTCTGATTAAAGTTTCAGAGCAGACAATTGCGCTGATTGGATACACTCTAAGTGTATTGTTGGAGAAGAATAACGAATAATGAAATAATTTTTGTCTACCTTTTCAAAGTTTTCAGTATGACGAGACGAGCAAGTTCTTGTCAAAATATTACAACTATATTTCGCGAAAAGTATTTTCCATTTTGCCACGGTTACTACCTACTCTTCCATGTTTTCAGAAATATAAGCAATAGTAAATATACCTGCGGATTCACGTTTTCAGTAAGTAAACAATAAAAGTGCATCGTTTTGTTGTTTCAATATACAGGATGATTCATAAATGGTGACCAAAAATGAAACCTCGTATTCTTTGGTGAATTTTAAGGGGAGTCTTTCCTATAAAGTTTTTATCTAGGATACTTCGTTAAAAATATACACAATACACAATATTTATGTAAACATTGTCCAAAATCTGAGAACTTCCTAAAATTTACATGCTCCAGTGGTGGAGATACAGCGTATGGTGGCATATTTTTCTAAATAAAATAGTACGCCACTGCTTTACAACCATAATATTTTCGGATTCGTCTTTCAATTTTCTACAAATTACTACTGTCTTATGTTTTTCGAAAATAAACTGATTTTCGAATAAAACTTAAAAATTTTTTTTTTGAACATCACTTTCGGCGCAATTAAATGAAATAATGCAGGACGATTCAGGAAAGAAAAACGGTTCAAACAATCTGAATTAAAAAAAACCTACAAACATTATGTACTTTTCGCAATATGTATTTGCAAAGTAGTCGTTGATTTTCCAAAACAGCAGAATAAATAATTTTTTGGCACTTTTTAAATTAATACAGAGTATAAAATTTTTTTCTCAAACATACCAAAAGGATTGAAGAAGATTGATTCAAGTTTTCAAAACCCAATTTCTTGTTAAATTTATTGGGAAAAGTAAAAAAGGCTTTATACAGATTGTTGGAGGGACATACGGTTTATCTGATGAGAGCAGTTCTTGTGTTGCTACATTGTTGTTGTTTCAGATATACTAGATTTTACTTTTTAGGTGGAACACCCTGTATATTTTTGTTTATTTAGATAGTGTGATTACAGTGACATAAAATATGATATACATGCACAATGTTATCGAACATGTTCTTAATTTCCGAAAAAATCAATAACTTACAGTTTAGTTACAACCAATTAAACGAAAATACAGATGTGGAACCTGATTTTCGCGAAAATTTATTATTAAATGTGATTTATTTAAAGACCTATGAAGGTTTCAAAGTCTGTTTAGTTTTACAAACTATTGGACACTAATCTACTAATCAACTCAATTTCAATAGGCAGTATATACAATACGACCATTCTGCCCAACAAGATGGTATATGCGGATCAAATCTCTAAAAATGTTAAAATCCATTTATCTTTTATTATTTCTTGAAGAGAGTCTAAATAAAACATCAAAGCAAGTGGTAAAGATAATGAGTATCTTGCGAGTTTGGTATCAAATCAAGTTTTTATCTATATTGAAAACATTGATTTCTGTGTCTGGTAGAGTTGACCAGTTTAATATTGTTCTTCAAAGTAAATTGCTGTTTTATTGAAACATCAGATTCTATGTGGAAAATGTAGTTTAGTGTTTCAGAGAAATGCCTATCACATTTTGTGGGATGAAATTAAACAATAACTAACTAGTTTTACCTAGAGTGAGGAAGATGCCTAGGAGCTTTGATGGTGGTACTATATGCTTTCCAGACGCCAGAAGATATACAGGGTGTCTCATAATTAGCTGCCAACCCTGAACAGGCCGATTCTATGATCAAAACTAAGTAAAAAAGTTCATATGAACATGGGTCTGGAAATGCTTCCTAAGGGCACAGGGACCCATTGAAGAGGGAGGAATGGAAATCATTTTTTTGCAATATCTCTCAATCGCGTTGTGATAAATGAATGAAATTTGGTATACACAGCTAAATTTTGATGAGCAATTTGTTGGACTAATCCATTTATTTCCACAAGGTCCATTGGGGTGGGTACGGGGGGCCCTTGGTACTTTGCGTGTGTAACTTTTTCATCTTTGACTTTTTAACAAATTGGACAGCAAATTCCGTTTTCCCGAACTGTTTTACGTTAAAAAGGTACTCTTGTTTCAAATCGTTATCTTTAACGGTTTCTGAGAAAATCGCTCTTGAATTAATCCCACATCGGTCAATTTTCATAGTAAACTGATAGTTTCACTCATAAAATTTTAATTGTACTCATATTAGTAGAGGAAAATTTCTTTCAATCGGGTGTGGACATAAATTGATACATTATTGAATGAAATTGGGTGAAAATGATGAAAAGTCCAATTTTTCTTACAGTGTGCGTCTAGGTAGCACATTTGTTTTTTTTTTTAATATTCATGTATACTTGGTTTTCGTAAATTTTGGAGTAAACTACGTATTAACGATTGAATGTTCTAATTGTATTGCAACATTAATTGTAGATTTTCAAAACAATTTCAAATAATAGATTAAATCAGTGGCGGGTGTGA